AAGGTAGTTTGGCATGTGAACGAGAAAGTCCAAGTGCGCTTTAGAGGAAGGACTCAAGATAATCTAACAACCCTATCGCATGCTAAAAAAACCCACTGATGGTCCAAGTTTAGTTGAGGTCTGATTGGTTTCCTTTCAGAAAACCCCTCTTGCCCAACTGTATAGCAGTGAGGGTAGTGTGCTCGAAAGACATCATTATGCTCAGACGGTGCAGATTTTAAAGGTGCGTTTAGCAAATTGAAAGCACTATTCACGGTAGCTAGGTGGGCGGAGCCTGGAAACGACAACATTGGCTCGCTTCTTGAAGAAGGTGGGAAGAGGATGGCTCACCAATGTCGCCATTTTCTGGCTCCGCCCACCTGGCAATCTCGAATGGTTTTAAATTGTGACGCTCAGTTCAATGTGGTAAAACAGGAGATGTTCGCTGGTCTAATGTTCAAGTTACAGATGACCGAGTGTAATATTTTGGATCAGCTGACACGAACGCAGTACCAAACGGTGTTGAGTCATATCCGAGACGTGATCCTTGCCACGGATATCGCAGTGCATCTAGGCAAAGTTGGTCGGATCAAGGCGATGGTTGATCGTGAGTTCATGGATCCATTACTTTATCTCATGCTTTACCCTTTTCCGGCAGTATTCGGCTTACCTATTGGACTACACGTCACTCTATGGTATGAGACCTGTAAATTCTTGTCAATTGCAAACCCTCCTGCTGCTGTTGTACTTTGCAGGTGTTTACAGGTCTCTTACAGGAGGCACAAGTGAAAACCAGAAAAAAGCCCCCATCAAGCCAAACTACAAGCATTTTGCCTTTACGCGTATTTCTTACTGTACTTCTCGAGAGATTTTCATGTTCAGAAGGTTATGACCCATTGTCACGAGATCACCACTATCTGTTCATGTGTCTGTTGATGACATCGAGCGATTTATCGGATCAGTCGAAGGACTTCCGTAACTCGAAGGCTATCGCTGTGAGCTTCTCAGTCCTTGGTTGTCTGCTCTCTGGCTGAACTAGCTGTACCTATGGTGGTTAATATTCCAGGAGAACATCTACCGCGAGTTCTTCTCCCAAGGTGATCTCGAGAAACAGATGGGTGCTAGTCCAATGGAAATGATGGATCGGGATCGTGCAGCTGTGCCAAAGATTCAGCTCGACTTCATGGATACTGTTGCGTTGCCTGTTTTCGAGTGAGTAGATTTCTTTCGT